AATGTAGGCGAACAGTGGCCACATGAGCATACGCGAGTCGCGTAGTCAACTGAGAAGCCTACAGCAGGGATGAAACTCTCACAGCACAGAATCAGCCTTTTCACTATCTTCCAGACTCCTTAGTGCTCCAAGCCATATGTTATGCACACTTGCATAGCAAAGCGTTTACTTAGCGGAGTGGTGGAGCATGTTGGGAAGTCGCTGGGCTTCATAGATAGGAAGGTGTGTCTGATGCTGAGAAGGGCGATGTAATCTACAAAGTACAACTAGTAGCCATCTCATGAAGTCTGGAAGAGTATTAACACTACTAGTAGCAACGTATACTGCTCACATGCCTTGCCGGATGCTGCAGCCCTGACTCAAGTAAGATGAACAAGGCATATGTGTGGTGCACAATTAGATGACTCGACCCCCTCATAGGCCTCTAGAACCCATGCATTGATAACAAACATGGTGGCGACAACGTGTCCGCCAATGCACGATGTCGATGGCCTTATGTTTGACAGACTGATCAGTAGCAAGGCTTCTGAGCCAAGGCAGGCACTACGAAGATAATGCATGCTGGTTCGGACAGTAGATGAAGCGGAACCTGCCACACATTACACATCGATCCTCACACCGTTACAGACTTTAAAGCAACTGCCTTTGGAAAACAAGCATTGCAGGGAAATGGTGTTAACAGTGGTACCAGAGTGCACGCATTTTGCGAACGCCCTGCAAACAATGTATAGAACTGCAGATGATAAAGACAAACCTTGAGGGACAACGTAAGCTCAAGCTCTTTCACAGCTCACTTACGACATCAAGAGTCTAGCACTGTCGTGAATATGTGCTGGATCAAGCACGTCAACATACTACGGCAGGGAATATAATTATCAGGAAGGCATGCGTCATTGTTTCCAAACAGTTCAACTGGCGTGCTGTGCGCAGGTTTGCCGAGGAATAGGTGGAGTCCTGCTCATGCTCTGGTGCAGCCAAACCTGTGTCTATGGCAAGAACAGCTAACATTCTAGTTGGTTGGCCACCAGATCAAAGGTGTCGGCCTCCGTGTGCCATCGTGATGCGATCTTCACTGTATTGGGCAGCATCAGTGTGCCTTTTTCCGGAACAGAGTATCTACGAAATCATGTCTAGTGCACCCAGCCTCTTCTAAGGATCTGCGACTATGGGTGTTGACAATCTGTGTGCACCATTTACTTCGGAGCTTTGGCTGCAGGTTTACAATCATCATCTTCAAGCAGGTGATTTTAGGAGCATGATACGTGCAATCATAGAACCAGTTGTGTGCGTTCACTCGGTACTCCAGCGCATCCAGTACATATTTATCCAAACAATAAAAAAAGTCTCACCGTTGGTTCCTGGGACGCGCCCAGCGACAAGGGCGTACGAACTGCCACGTTCAGATTGTCAGCGGCTAAAGCTGGGCAGTATTTGTAGATTTGGTATCTTACAAAGCCCTCTACATTTTTAAGGACATGGATTAGAGCATAGACATCGTTCTTGTCCTGCAGGACACTAAGGTCAGGGTAAGACATAGGCAGAAATGATATTCATTTCACCCTATCCTCGAGCTCTGTCACAGGCCAATTAATAGGTCAAGTGTACTTGTGTGTTCTACTTATATCTGGAGGCGTTACGAAACCATCAGCAGTCTTGATGGATTCATGTATCCAACGTTCGTTAGTGGGTCTTAAAGTTTTTTATGAGTCGGTTAGGCACTGACTATTATACCATCACTGCGAGCTACCCTGAGGCAAGTAGACACAAAGAACGCACCACCCGCATTCCTCGGCAATATTTGCGAATTTAAGCTAACGGAATTTCAGATGCTTGGCATGGATTTTCCTTTTGCTATTTGTTTCACACTAAATGAACACACGTGCTTCCCCTTTGCTCTCCCGCATCTCTGGTCTACAACAAGGAGCATCTTTCCGTTGGCCTGCAGCTGGTGGGAGGGGCTCAGCAGCCATTTTTTGGAGCACAAAGGTTCGGAGAACAGCTGGGTAATGAACGCAAATCCAAGTCCGAAGCTAAAGAGAGACCACATAAATTGATGGAGGGACTGCGGTAGAATGTGCATTTCGAACCTGGAGCGCCGGGTCTGGTGGATGGGCGGGCTGCAGGAAGTGCGCCAGATGACCAGCCAAGGTGCTTGCTGTTAAGTAGCTAGGACGCCCTGCGGTTCTCTAACTTATCAAAACCCGGCTTCTGTTCGACCGACCTCCCCAAAACTTGGCGGTGCAAAAATATTAATGATTTCGACTATCTGAGAGAGCTACACGACTTCTCAAGCTGCTTACGGCCTTCGCCGAGCGAGCGAGCGGGTAAGCCGTGAGCGGGGGCTCCAAAGGACGCCGTAAAACTGCTGGACATTTTGGAGTATATAGCGCCGAGCACACACGCGAGAGGAGCTTCTATTGAAACGAGGTGGGGAACGCTAACCTTAGTGATTGAAGAGTGAACAGTTTCAGCGTCTGATTCCAACCAGAGAATTCGCATGTCTGGTGGATTCCCAATGCTAGTCGCCATGAATACAAGTACTTGCGTTCCTTGGTAATAACGTTGTTCAGCTCATGCCGTGACTGAACTAGCTACGGTCATCTGTCAGCATTCTTGGAATATTGCCGGTTATTTCCTTTAAAGGTGCTTCCTATATTCTGATGTATGCTCAGGTACCATGAGCATGCTTTATTAATATCCTCCCTTATGTCTTGTCAAGGGATTCCGGTAGACTGTACTGCATGGACGTGCATTTCCGTGTACACACCCTCCATGAGGCACGGAGGCACAGCTAACGTAGCGTAAAATATTACTTCCTTTTCACATTTCACTTGTATCCTATTTTCGCGGTGCCGTAGGCTCACACATCTCACCGTCACAATAGTAGCGAGCTATCACGCCGTTGCGGGCGTGCTGGTCTGGTCCCTCGTTCGTTGTTGGTTAGTATATGTCTCTTTCCCTCCGTCGACTTCACGTAACCGGTTGATAAACACTTTGCTTATCTCGTTTGCATAGTTCGTTCTTTGCGTTTGTACTTGTCTGCAGATCGGCAATAGTAGAGGTGCTGAACTGCAGATCTTGCACACAGGTGGTCTCCACGTGAACCCGAGAGAATGTTTTAAAAAGCGCCAGAGATGTAGCTGGCTAATGTGCGCTCATACACTTTTTCTAATACTAGTTATGTTTAGCAAAGGAATATTAAGGAAGTGAATAATTGGTTTGTTGGCTGGTAAAACTTCTTTATTCTAGGGTACTCTGAGTTCGATACGAGAAGAATCGGTGTTGTGTGCGCGTGCGCTAGGTGCTATCTGTAGCTTGCGCTAAATGCATAAAATGCTTAGAGGGTGCAGTTACAAGCAGCCGAGCTGCCCCTTGTCTCTCATGTCTGGAACTGAACGGAACACTATCAAGGGCTGTTGGGAGTCCGTTCGGAAAGCATGCAGTTGGTTTCTATAAGGTTACCTTAACTGTAAATTTATCTTATTTGGGAGCCTAGAGGTGGGTGCGTGCGCATTGCTACAAAATATGTCTTTATTATTTTCGCAGCACCTTTTACTTGAACAATATCCCATTCAGCCCCCTCCATCTTTCGTCTGCTCCGCTTCGGGCGTTTGATGAAGGCGTAAAGCATCATGACATCTACGATGTTCTGGCATGCTAGCACTTAGTAAGCACTGTGCTCTGGTGTTTTTTCATCCAACTGGATAAAAGGCCGTCAATTCTTTGGAGGTCGAAGTGTTCACAACTGCCCAGGTTTGGAACTTCGAAGCCCACAGTCCGAAGTACTGTTCTGTGTTTCCAAGCTGCATAAGTTCAGAGACCATGCCACTGTACCACGGAGCTGACAAAAACTAGAAGTGACAACAGCAAGCTGCGCTTCCATAACGTGTTATGAACAGAAATCATGATTTATACAAGCCATAGATGCTTCAAACTGAGCCACGCAGTGCTCACATTTTAGCCAATCGCACTCAGGCGGCCTTGTGATGTCATCAAACCAGGATAATTGTGAGTCCTCTGCGACACACACCACCCTAATGTACAAATAAGAAAAAAGAAAAATAGCAGCAAAAGCCCCGTCAACTTCCAGTGGATTTACGCCAATGCCCTGCTAGTATAAGTCGCCACCTCCTAGTTGTGCCTGCACCTGTCTATCCCTAGTAGCGAACCAGGAAGCCAAAGGTACCATGGCACGTGACTCAAAGAAACAAGCGTGGACCAGCCAGAACGAAACGCCGCGCTCCCCCTTGGTGTATCCAAACTACTATGTTCTCAGATGGGGATTCCCTATAGCCTATGATTGTCTTCCATATTTGTGAATCATCGTCGTGCCTTATTTTTTGTTAAGTAAATGTGGAGGTTGGGGTGTCACAGGTCACAGGCAGTCCCCTAGAATCTAAGATGGCACATCTCTTGCTTCGTGGGGCGCTGCTGGATACGAAAAGCCCAACAAGCATGTTGACCCCATCTTTCTTGCACAGCCTGATCTCTGTTTCGCTTGTTCGAGAATCCCTTTTCGGTTTCATCAGCGTGGACTGTACTCTAGCTGCCCCTTTGTGGCGCAGGCGGACGTTCTGTTATCAACCGTTAGCGAAGGAAGGAGAGTAGGCGAGATGGGAACCCTTGCACCTTACACGGTCCCAACAAGTGTCAGCGAGGAAACCCCTATTCAGCGGGCTCGAAAGGCACTGTTGGCGAAGAGCTAAGCCATCCCTGCTCCCAGTGTTTCAACTCGATCCGCGGACAGGTTCAACACCACTACCATCTGATGTAACATAGCGACGATGATGACTGTGAGGCTTTCCTGAAGCTCTGTATTCTTCAACCTTCTTAAGAACTCCAGCACATTCCAACCAAATGAGGGTACACTTGTGGAACCAGCAGCTAGCTTGCTACCTATAAATCAGGGCAGCTAAGTACTTGGGTAGCAAAAGCACAGAAAAACACAGCCACTAAATTAGTTCGCTATACGACCAAACAGAATGGCAGGCTGTCGACAGTTAGCTTGCGGGTGAGATGCCTTGTTTCAGGCAACAACCGTCTTGTTCTTCTGCACCAGAGGGGCCGGAGGCACCCGCTTCAGTGTGTCTGGCACTCAAGTACCCCTGAACCATATTGCTGCCCACTTGGGCAGTGCCCTCGCCGTTGGTGCTTATTCCACTGCCGGAGATGGCATTGTTGCAACTGCTGATTGCGTCACAACCGTAGTTTTTGCTGCTTCGTTGGCGCCTACTTTCATCCAACGCCAAGCTGCTTGCCACCCCATGAAAGGTGTCAGGGGATGCTAAAGTATTAATGGTGCTCTCATGGTCATTGCTGATCCTGCAGTCGCCGCCACTCTTATTGCTAGGCAAGGTGTCTGCGGGTGATGGAGGCGACCCCCCGGCCGCATCCTGGGGTCCGACGGGCCCCTGTACACCTGACCCTTCATGGCTTCCCGTATTAAGTGGCTGCTGCTCATTGTGCTGATGCGGCAGCAGCCGCTCCTGCCTCACTTCCGCTGCAAGTCCGGGTTCTCCCTCAACAGCGGCCCTGAAGGCCTCATCTGAGAGCCCGATATCTTGTCTCAGAGCCTGGAAAGCACATACCATACCCCTGGATCGAACCAACATGCACATACCAACTTCGAGAAGACACCGAAGCGCTGGTTGATGGGTCGACCACCTCTTAAAACTGTTTAATTTATGCTTCCCCCCCAAATAAATTGAAGCGCCAAGGCCCAAACTGAAAATCTCACCTGGACAAACGCGCGGACAACGAGCAGCAAAGCGATGGCCACAAGGTTCAAAAGTAGAAACAGAATACGGGTTTCCTCCAATAAGGATTCCAGGATCTGCAACGCACACCCTAAAAACTTGCCCCGCTGCTGACATGATACGAAGATATTTGTTAGTCTTCACGTTTGTCCCAGAAGCAATCCACACTTTACCTAGGCAGTTTGAATCTGAGGATTTACCTCGGTAGGCCCCACTCTATTAATAAAATCAAGGAGGTAAACCGCCACAAGGCCCGCATATACTGGGGCCGCTGGAGCATGTTCGTCGGCTTCTAGACTTCTGCACCAGCAATCCCCATACGCTGAACCATAACCAGTAATTGCTTATCCCTGAGTGTCCGACTCAAAAGTACTGTTTACTGGTGCGACTAAGCCTAAGACATGGATGGCTTGCCTTCTAAAATGGCTGCTGGCCAGATATAGATCCTGCAAGAGAAAAGCCAGCCGCTCAAGCCACAATTTTATACTAACTGTCGGCTTTCCACATAAAGACAGCATTACACAGCCACAAAAATTGCTGGAAGTCTTGTCTCAGCGCACAAGGTTCGAATATATAGAACTGGGTTTCTGGATTATTGTTTGCTTTGAAAAGTTGAGGATCTACCTGTGGCACTCCTAAGCCAAAGAGATGCATCGTGCCCATATTATACCGCGCCTAAATCGCAAAACAATCGGCAAATGATGCTGCTGTTCCTGCCTGTATCTTTCCTTGTGCTGTTCGGTGTCCCTTTCTGGTGCTCCTGTAGTGTTTATTCGTGGGAAATTCCAACCCGAAGTTCAGAGCCAACAAAAATGCACACAAATTTAATATCATAAATCCACAAGAAGCTTACTTTGGCTGCCAGGGATGGGCTCCAGGTAGAGGAGTTCGCTACCTTGCGATAAAATGCTGAGAGAACAACAAAACGGACACCGCGAACCCTGCCGCCGATGTGAAAATTCTTATGGGATCTCTTATTACGTATCATGAGCAAGAATTCAAGCAAACCGAGTAGAGTTCTAGCCTAGAATCATGTTTACCTGCTGCTTCAGAGAAATCGCGTTCTCCCTCGTCGAGCCATGACTTCTGCTGGGAAAGCCAACCCTCAAAAGAAGCACCTAAAGACACAAAAGCCCACCATTAAAAACAGCTCTGTAGCAAAGATATGGAGGCCTAAAGCTTAACCCCCAGAAATGGCGCAAGCCACCCGTCGAGCCCTGCGTATTAAGACCTTGAATCTTATCGATACCTTTCTCATCGAAGAATGCACTGGGGTACCTCATAGTGCTACTGCGGCGACGGACTCCATATCCGTAAAATGCAAAGTCCCCTGCATATCCAAAATCCCAAACGCCAAACATGAACAGCACGTCCGGTGCTGCTGCTTGCATGTATCACTGAACGATCAGTCGGTAGCGTTGGGGGCACAAGGGGCGGTAGCACCAGCACGATACGACGCAGCAGCTGCATTACCAAGTCTAAGTTGAGCAGAAATGGACCCCTGGGCCGCTGCCATCTCGTAAAACCTCTGTGCGTGTAAGCGCTTCCGCCGGAGGGTCCCTGCAGCAGCAAAAGGAACTGCACTTGTGCAACACGTTGCAGCCATTCGGGCTGCATAGGTAGAAAATACTGTTGATAATATTTACTCATAAATAGCAGATGTTGGCACAATCGTCAAGAGTTTAACCCTAAGCAGCAAAAATTCCCTGACCGTCAAAAAAGATATCCGTCAGGCCTGCATCCAACAAGAACGCCAAGTTGCTCTGGGATGCCTACAAAAGATAGCCCATAACCATAGATAACAGCTTTTCGTTTCGCCAAGTCAAAAGAGCACAGAGGTCGCACCCTGATCTAGGTAACTAAACCCGACAGGCGCCATTACACTGGGGCACTTCGTAGCTCCAAGGACCAGTAGTATCAGTCAGTGGAGTCCACCACAGCCCTGCTTAGCCCTTCATCTAGCCCTGATATAGGGCTTGTAGTGTGTACCATCCAAATCGTTTGTGCCGGTTTGTCCTCGAATGCCTACCTCGTGGCCGGCCTCCGCGAGAAGGAGGAAGTTGAAAGCTGCTTCATCAAAAGCATTCTGCTCGTACGCCCCGTGAGCCTGCATACTCATCAAAGAACCTAAAGTTGTTGTTAACTTTGAGTTCAATTTTATACTTTTGACCATGAACTCGGAAGAGAACGCAAGCGGTGAGCCGTTCGCTACAGCAGTACGCCTGAAGGATGAAACTCGCCCCTAGCCTCGACTAGTAAGCCGCGGTCTGCACTGAGATATCCTAGATATTTCCTGTGTAAACTAAAAATTCCTAAATTCCAAAAATCCTGCCTTACCCGTTGGAGCATGTGTGCGAAGTAAGTAGATCTCTCTGTTGCAAGCTTCAAGAGACCGACAGCAAGCGGGCAGTCTCTCACAGCCCCTAGGCCAGAGAGATGCATTACACCAAGTGCGTACGCGGCCCCTGTGCTGCCCCCCCGCACTGCCTTGGTGTACCACTTCAGCGCCTCTACAAAGGATTTGGAGACACCTAAGTTACACATCACACACAACCAAGTGCAGAATCATCAAGAGATAAAACGACGACCCGGCCAGTGTTTGAGCAGTTAAAAGGCACTCTTTACGGAAGGCGAGACACCCTTTTTTTACGATACAGTGTGAGTTGTCCTTTGGGCTTTAAGTTTGTCGCCTGGTGGTTAGACCTGTGCCAGTGAGGTAAAGGGAGGCGACGTTAAGCTGCCCGTCTGGGGAGTTAAGGGTGGCGCTCTTGTTGAACATCTCGAAGGCTAGAGAAGGAGAAGAATCTATCAGGGGAGTACCAAAAAAGTACACCAAACCTAATCCGTTGTATGCTGCACGCACACAAACCACAAGCCGTTAGCCAACAACCCGTGGGTTGCAATTTACCAGCCTGCGACGTCCAACATCTATAATCGATACCCAGATGCCCAAATCCTTACCAATCGGATCCTGATTCTCCTTTGCGCCTCTGAAAAACCACTCTGCTGCCTCATCAAGATCTGCCTCAACTCCCAAACCCAGTGCATAGATGTAACCCAGCAAACCCTTGGAGTCTCCCCTATGGCAAGGCACACACAAACAGCGAAAACGGCTATTGCTGATTCCTGGCTTTCGACCCTCCTCAATAACACGCTTGCTCCACTTCCTAGATCATATATCCCTACTTGGAGCTGCGGCTGGCTGCCAGAAGGTGATAGCGGGCCTTCGCGTAATCCTGGGGGAATCCGTCAACCCCGAAAAGGTATTTCCTCCCCAGCAACGCATGAACCTGCGAATTCCCCATATGTTCAATCGCCGGCAAAGTTACAAGTCCGTAATCAGTTTTTCGCAGTGCTTTGTGGCACTTCAATAGTTTGCTATCGTGCATCTTCTATAAATCGGCTGCGTCTGCATTTCAGGTATGCGCCTTGCGTGATTTGAGTCAGGGCATAGGCCATTTAAATGTACAGCCAGGTTGCCTTCATTTGCTTCATGGACCAGCATTGTGAGCTGCTCAGGATCAGTGCTCAGACGGTACACCTCCGAGGCCTCGGTCGGGTTCAGCCCACCACCGCCCACCCGCAAAACCTCGATGGCCTGGGGAATTCCAGAGGCGTACACCTACGACAAAAGCCACAAAATTAATGAGATAACACAGACCATCTTGAATAATGCACAGCTGGCGAAACAGTAAGCACCAAGACTAGATGGGAAGAAACGTAGGCTGTTTAATCGAGGCAAACATCCACAGACTCGACCATTACATGTAACTGACTGAAGGGCGATGAGATGCGGGAATTTACGTTGTGCATTTAGTTTGCCTTTTACAAAATGAGTTTGTGAATTACCCCTGCGGTAGCTTTCGCGACAGGAAGATAATGGTTGGCAGCAGCAGCGCAGGCTTGTTGCTGCTGTCCCACTGAGCCTTCAAGAGCAGCAAACTGGTGCCGCCACGCCACAGCGGCGGCGGCAGCAGGATGTGTGGCAACAGCAGCAGCATGAAGGTACATAAGAGGCAAAGGGGGATTCTCAGAAAAGTCAGGAGCAGAGAGCAGCAACTCAATCGCTCCTGTGACCGACCCTGGAAGAACCACGGAGCTTCCTGTACGCTTCTCGCTCTCAACGTTGCGTAGGGAGGCCCCAGAATCTGCTCCAGACCAAGGCCCTCCTCCTGAAATCCACGCCACAGACTCTTGAAGCCGCTCCCAGATCCTGCGCCCTGAACTCCCAGAATCGTCCCTACGGTGCAACCCTCCTATGAAGACCTTCAGGGGCGTAAGCGGCCCCCAAGGGGCAGCTACCGGGCGGCTTCCGGAGAAGAAAGAAAGAGAAAAGTTGGAGTTGACTTGTACACGCAAGGGCTGATCGAGTTCTGCATGCACAATTCACAAAGCCCAAGCTGCGTAAAAGCACAGAGCAGGGCATCGGCCCTTGAACGCCGCAGTGCGATACGGTCTAGCGCCTTAATTATAGGGCAACACTTAGGGATCAGGATAGCATGCTAAGCGGCTGATATTGGTGAGTAGCTTGGATGGGATGCCCAGTTTCAGGGTTTGTGTTTGGGCAAAAGATTTGCCTTGGAGTGGGGGTTCAGGAGGTAGGAGGTAGAGGTTCTGATGAAGGACTCCAAGGAAGAACTGAGCCTCCGCGGATCCCCCGCGGGCAGCCAACCATAGCAGTTGCAGGGTGGAGAGAAGACACCGAAAGGGGAGGGGAGGACGCCCCAGGAAGTAAAATATAGAGAGGTCGTATTGGCACCTAAATCCAAAACGACAAACCACGAATTGCCACAAGACAAGGGGAATAAACCCGCGGCCGCTATCAAATATATGCATGAGAAACACGGGATCCACCTAGGTCGATAATATCTATGCTACAAATCGCCGATTCTGAAATTGAAGCCCCAAACCGTACGTTGTCACAAACAATGGCTGCCTGAGATGCTTTTGAGGGTTCAACACGCCCTGAGAGCTGGACTGCGCATGCCCATGAGGTATACAGATATGGCTGCTATCCTTATGTTTGTGTCATCAGTAGTGAGCTGAGGAAATCCGCCCTTTCATATCCAGTATTGTGGTTCTTAGTGGAAGGCTTGTGGTCTGTGGTTCAGTGTTTGTACCTGGGGTCAGTATCAGCGCAATCCGCCAGTCTATAAAAGAGAGATGTTGACATATTTGGGATCTGAGACAAGGGCTCCCTAAACCCTAATGGAACAGCAACTGCAGCATATCGGTCCAGAACAGGTGGCACCTTCCCTCCCCTGTTGCTGCTAGGCGCTTCTGCCGCCGCTGCTACAAAAGAGGAGCCTAAGGGGGACCCCTTAAGGCCGTCCTCCACAGCAGCGAAGGCCGCTGCAACAGGAGGATGTTCAAGCGGACCAGGATTCCAAGGGATATGCGCGGTGCAAGGTGTAATCAATGTGAAAATTGCAGAGAGCCACCATAGCACGCGGGGAAGGGAAGGGCTCCATAGGGCCCCACGCGGGGTCCCGCACATTGGTGGGGGAGCCGATACACGCGGGAATAGTACGTCCATTAGGGCTGTTGCCGACAGCGCCGGGGCACAAGAAGGCGGAGAGGGGTCCCCGGTGAATGCAGTCTAGGGTTTATGGCGGAGGAACAGCTCCTGCTTGCACGAGCATTCTGGAGTGGAGGGGAAAATGGGGGAACTGGTAATGTTGCATACCGCGTGCGGTCTCCAACTGCACTGACGAGCGCCAGGGTCCCTCTTTGCCCAACGTGACCCAAACGAGTGTGTGGAAACTAGTATAACTTAGGGAGATGCAAGAATCAAAGAAGGCAGGATACGGCCTAGCTCCTATAGAAGCAGAGTTTAGACACATAGACTTTAGGAGGCGCTATTATTAAGCACATAGGATTTGGGGCCGATGGTAAAGGGCTTGTGCGCGTTTTGCAGAGGACCCCCGCCGCCGCCTTCGCTTCTCAGGTCTGCGCATGCGAGAACTTCGAATGGCGAGTGTTGATTTTATTGTGTATGAAAAACACAATACTAATATAGCTCCCATTAATTATCCCTTTTTATTTTGCATGTCTCCATTTTCCATCCGGAATTTCCTTACATACCCGTTTCTACGCACACCGGTGGCCTGGTGCTGCTTGTTCACAATTAAACCATGAGTAGCCTATTGATTCAATCATCTAGCGAATTAAATCACCTTTTTGTTATTGATAATTTGCTTGAATCCCTCAATACTCTTAAAGACAGGATGCAGCAAACGCGTGGAGTCGAACGGTGAGCCATCCCAAGCAAGCAACAGGCTTGGGGCCCAGAACTCCTTCCCAGAAGCCACGAACCCTTCGAACCACAAGCGGCATATGTCTGGAAGGAGCCAACAAATATGAGGAAATGGTATCTTATCTGCTGCAGAGCACTGTTGGCTCGAGACAAGATGACTCGATGTTGTGTGGTAGCGCACCACCAAAGACCTCCGCGAGCAAACACGTACTTCAGAGTAAATACAAACTTCCCTTTCAGAATGTTACGCGTTCAACAGAAGAACTCCTGCCTTTCCCAGCTCGCACCTCTAAGGGTTGTTGACAGTTGGGGACAGGGGTAGCAAGTTTGTGCTTAGCTGCACCCTGTGTGTGCTAAGTCCAGATGGCGTCTGCTACACAAGTACACAGCGTTTTGTCTTCTGGGAAACTACCAGTACTCTTTAATAAATAATATATGCCAGCAGAGAAAGCAGTTGGTCAAATATATACTAATTTGTTGTTCAACAGTACTAGTGTAGCCCAAAGTATATGTTAGGTTAGCCCGGTACATCTTTCCCGCATTCAAAGCACGCGACCTTAGTGTTAGGTATATGTCCGTATAGACCGATTGCATGCAGGACAGCAGAAGAGTTCGCGCAGTATCATCACTTTCTAAGCGGGCAGATAAAAGAGTACAAATGAGAAGAGCAAAGGCTACCAACCTGTCAAGAGAGATCAAAGGAAAGCGAGACGCGTGCCCTAGTCAAAAACTAGCCAAGGTACGCGTCTACAGCGGTGCGGTGACTTCATGTTTCGGGATCACTAAAATCTGCGAATCTTGTTGCGAAAAACAGAAATATAACGTGTAGATGGAATGAAAATACACACCAGTTTAGCAAAGCCTGTGCGTTTCAAATAGGACTCTCTACATACAAATACATCCATCTGGCGCATTCAGAGGTGCCAATATTAACGACATAGAAAAGGCATAAGAAAGAATGTAGGTACACTATACCTAAAATTGCCTGCGAATATATTTGAGTGTGGAGACGCGAACGATAATAGACAGGAATACAAGCAATATCTATACAGAATGATGGATGTGTCCGGCATACTTTCACCTGGAGGATGACATCTACAAAGAAATGCGAGGAATATCGTCCATGGCGTCTTGCGGTCTTAACCAAGCACAATAGAGTGCTGTACTGGCTCCCTCAGGCCAGAAAATTCCTCTTCATGAATAAAGCCACCTTTGAGGTCCTTTTCCATTCAATAGGCCTCCCGCGAAAGCACTCTCCTCTCTTCATCTGCCGGATACAAAGCAGGGAGTGCTTTCAACTGGCTACGATATCTTCATGTACTTGTCCATGCCTACGGCAATCATTCTTTTCTGATAGCCATGTCCTCACCCACGCACCCAAAAGCTATTACTCAGCTAAGGCTTGAACCCTTTTAGCCAGTTGTCGAGATGCTTTCTCCACATCAGCTGCAGGCCGGCCTCGGTTGCCAGTGCGGCCGTTGCGCCACCGTCAAGTTCTTCTGCCACAGAGATTTTCACAGAGTGGTGCCAACTAAAATCAGGGTATTGGTATACCAAATACCTGTGTCGTAAGTATCCATCTTGTTTAGGGGCGCCCGACACCCTACCCAACGGATGAGCGGGAAACAGCAACACCGACCCACGCGATGCCACCACCTTTTTCGCTCCATAAGGTCTCCGCAATCAGACATTTAGCTCCAGACTCAAGGCTAACTTGATAAAAGCTTGTTGCGTGTTTCGAAAGAGCTCCCGCCATCCCCTGCTGTAACTGTTAATGGTTTCCCACATATGGACGGAGGAACAGCCCGGTTGCATGTAGCTGCACTCTATTTGCACTCAGAGCATTCACAGCTAGGTTCGCATAGCATGTAGCGCGTGAGTATGCACCGTTTCGTCATCGTATAGCCAATTTCACAGTATCCTTACATAAAGAAGGCGTACCGTCATACAAACCAATGAGTCCACCCTTTTTCACTTCTTTGGTATTTTTGACTGGTCCAGTGGAAAGTGCTTAGCTGCGACTTGAATCGGTGCATTGCCGCTGTGGTCGCAATTTCAGTGTGGTAATTCCGCATCCTAGTCACACATCAAGCTGTCTTCTGCAATCAAAGACAAGCCCTAAGCTTAAGGAGAGTAGCTCCAAAAGAAGGGTAGTGCGAGTGCGTGTTCGTCAATACCATTCGGCGAATTGGATTTTATGATGCGTTTAAAAACTTGCACGGAAAATACTTTCCAGACTTCGTCGTAATTATGTATTTCTCACCATAGCAAGAATATTAAGCCTAGCTGCAGGCAGGCCAAGCAAACGAAAAAATAACAGAAAATTTCTTTTTAGCTATCTTGTGTTGGCTAGAGCGGTGCTGACGCCCAACGAGCAAATGGAAGAGCTCTAGCAGCCAAGCCTCAACATGCCACAAGCTCAACGGTGCGCGTACAGACAACCTTCTGTGGCCTTAATGTGTTGATGTATTGATTCAGCACGGAGCCTCCTGCTTTCTTCTAGAGTCGGGTTGTTCGTAGAAACAAGGGAACATCGTATTGGTGTGAGGATCAGACGTGAAGCCCTGCAGGAACTGGCTTGGTGAGAGCAAAAGCGTGGGGTCACACACTAACCTAAAAAGAGTGATTGTGAGGTGTTCGTGGTGATTTCCTAAGCAGTAAAAATTTAAATTGTTCTTGATATAGAGCTGATACGGGCTTTTGGACACCTATGTGGCGTACTCGTTGAGTTTGTCATCTCCACATGTGAGTGCCCAGACCGCATTGAAGGTCCTAGCTACTCCATCATTTTAACGAGGCTTAAGTTAGTACCGAATTTCGCCAGTAGGCCTCGTTCTAATAATAGACCATCGGGATGGTTCCCTGTCTCTGCAAGGCGGCAGTAAGGGAAAAAAAGGAGCTTCTTATCCCGTAATTGATACATGTATTTGGTATAGTTGACTTCATACGGCCTTTAGTTGATTTTTTTCTGCAAAATTCTGCCTTTTTTGGCGGGAGGTTCGCAGCAGACCCATGAAGGCCGAGTATGCCGCCACCGCTACCCTCTGTACAGATCAAGGTGCCGAGAAGCACTAGAAAGAGCCATCTCCTAGTCTTCTCAGCACAACTCATTTTATCGATAGTAAGCAGGCTAGAGTCTTCGGCTCAACGAGGTGAGGCAAAGTCTTCATGCGGGCGGCTCAGCAGCACAAGAGAAGGGGTCCTTGGCTTGCATCCAGCCTTCAGGACTCCCTAACTGTCTCTTTATTAGGAATTTTGGCTAGCATCCCAGTCAGGAAGCAGCAGGACCGCGCTAAGGTCAAAGGAAACCTCGCGAATATGCTATACAACAACGAATCGTCGGCAGTTGGCCACCTCCTGATTGTAACTCCCACCGCACTGTGCTTATCCATGGGTGTACCCTAGAGCGTTTTCGGGGGCATCGCAATTGTTTGACAGGGCGAAAAAAGATGATCAGTAGGTGGATATTTAGCTAAAAGACAAAGTACATGATTGTGAGAACGCCTGAGGGCATGACTTAGTACTGATGCCGTAAAAGGACAAAAGTTGGTGCATTTGCAATAGCTCAAAACCTCTGAAAGGTATAATATGACGCAGATGCATTTTTTGTCTCCAACTAGCGAGTTCCGTGATGCACTTTATGAGGCAACAGTCTACTCAGCGTTTGGCTTCAGACACCTTATTGCAAATCCCCTTTCGCCCATGACAGGCACAAAAAGGCGTTCCACACTCCCTCACATGCTCAGATCTACCTGTGCAGGTTTGGACCTGCTAATGCTCCAGCTAGACCGCGGCATTAAAATATTTAGGATTTAGACGAGATCAAGGAGGTGGTCCTTTGTGTGTATTGAGTCTGGAAATACAGTGCATTCCTACGGAGGCATCAGCCTGAGGAATATACTGGCGCAGAGGCACCTCCACGGGTAGAAATTCAAAAAAAAAGCAGAGAGAACATTAATTTTGTGATGGAGTTACAATTGGCCTTAGCCACCCAGCCGCAAGCGCCTTCTTATGCCCCCCTTTCGTTGCATTACAAGAATCTTGCCATGCCACCAGAGCCAAGTCTTCGGGTTTGTAACACACAGCTGGCAGTCCCTTATCATTCTTCAGTGCTCGTCCCTTGACCATTGAGCTGCCATTTGCGTGCACTGGCTAGCCAATTTCTAGATTCCTCCCTTTTAAAGCGTGTCTGCAGACTCAGGACCAATCGGTCCAGGGCTGGCTGTTGTAAAATAAAAACACTCAACAAAAGGAAGATTCCTAAACCAAACAACTGGATT